GCTGTAGGAAAGGAGAAAACATAAGGCCCCACTGGTGGGAGCACCACAAGTTCTGCTGGTCTGGGCAGGGCCTGTGCTGCAGAGGGGCAGGAACCAAGAGGCTGGACTGCCTCTCAGCCTCTGGCCGTGAGCCCACACGTACACACTTGCACACATTCACACACACCTGGAAAGCCCAAGCCAGGGTGACATCAGTAGGAAGAGCAGAGTTACTGAAGCGAGAAGAACAGAGACTCCAAAGGGCTCAAACTCTAATCTTGTCGCTTGTCAGCTCTGTGGCATGGGCGGGCTGTTTGACCTCTGATTCTACGCCTCATCTGTAAAATGAAATACCAACACCCACACCTCACAGGCTGGTATGACGGGGCAGGAGTTTATCCATGGGCTAAGGCCTGGCCTGAGGGATAATCAGAGTAAAGCCAATTTGCCTTCCTCCTTCCTCTCCAGATGTGCACATCTGTTCAGCTTCTCCTCCTCCTTCCCCCACCAGACTGAAAGCTGCTGATTAATCCCTTCGAGGAGAGAGTACCTCCCACCCTGCATGCCTAGCCCACCATCTGGTGGGTCATTTCCTTCTAGCTCCAGGGAGCTACTCACTGCCTTGGAGCAGAGCCAGGAGCCAGGGAGCATGACCATTCTCAGGGCCTCCTTTGCGCACTGACCTGGAATGAGACTCTGCAGGGGGCCTCGAGGCCGGCAGAAGTCTGCTTCTGACCAGTGACTAGCAAGAGACTCCGCTGTTCTCTGCAGCCAGGACCAGTCTGGCCAGTTGAGCAGATGCTTTCCAAACTGGAACGACTAGATGCAGCCAATCATCCTTCTTTGGAGGCCCAGCTCCACAGGGATCAAAGACATGGATTTAATTGCTCGATTTCAAACCCAGCTCTGCCACTTACTAGCTGTGTAACTTCAAGCAATTTTCCTAACCAGTCTGAACCCCAGTATTCTTGTCTGTAAGAGGAGTACAATTCCCCTACCTCCTGGGATTGCAACGTGGGTTACACAAAGTGATGGATGTGGAGAGATCAGCACAGTGCATTCAACACTGGGAGCCACATTCGACTCAGACAGTTGCTGGGTATCTACTAGCTCTGCAACGGAAAGGGAGTTAGATGTAGGCCAAGAGCAAAGCCTAGAACGCGTGACAACTCTGTGATAACCACTCTATGCAAGGAGGCCATCTAGATCTAGTTGCCCTTTCACCTGGGAAGTGTTTGATGAGCATCTCTTTGCAGAGCACTTTGAGGGCCAATTTCTAGGGAGATGGTCTTCGACCATGGCTAATGAACCTATCAGGAAAGAGGATGTGACTGTGTGCTGCAGGTCTCTGTAGGAAGAAGAAAGTGGGGGGAAAAGACAGACTACAGTCCACAGGAAAGCAGCACCCAGGCAGGAGCTTCAGGTGCGCGGGAACCAGCTCTGGAAAGGTGCTCCCAGATCACATTCAGCATGCCCAAAGTTGGGTACAAAAGTGAATCAAACACAGAGGGTTGGGGCCAGCACTGTGGCACAGTGGGTTAAGCCACCACCTGCAGTGCCAGCATCCCAAATGGGCACCAGTTCAAGTCCAGCTATATCACTTCCAATCTGATTCCCTTCTAATGCACCTGGAAAGCATCAGAGCATGGCCAAAGTGCTTGGTCCCTTGCCACCTACATGGGTGACCTGGAAGAAGCTCCTGGCTCCTGGCTTCAGCCTGGCCCAGCCCTGGCTGTTGCAGTCATTTGGGGAATGAACTAGCAGATGGAAAATTCTCTTTCTCTCCATCGCTCCTTTACTCTGTAACTCTGCCTTTCAAGTAAATAACTTAATCAGAAAAACAAAAACCAACCAAAAAGAAACCAGATGGTCCAGGGCCAATGTTGTGGCACAGCTACCACCCACAACATCGGCATGCCATGAGTGCCAGGTCTAGTCCTGGCTGCTCTGCTTCTGATCCAGCTCCCTGCTGATGTACCTGGGAAGGCAGTGGAAGATGGCCCAAGTCCTCGGGCCCCTGCACCTACATGGGAGACATGGATGGAATTCTTGGCTCCTGACTTTAGCCTTGCCTGGCACCAGTCATTACTGAGTGGTAAACTAGAGGGTAGAAAATATCTCTTTCTCTCTCTCTGTAACTGCCTTATCAAATAAAATCATGAAAGACTTAAAAAGAAAGAAAAAAGAAAAGAAAAAAAGGTGGTCCTGGTCCTGTTAGTGAGGCAGAAGACAAGGCTACCACAGGGTTGGGTGCAAACAGCCTGGGCAAGGGAATGGTCCAGAAGACAGGGAGATGAAAAGCAAACTCTAAGCGATGCACTGTAAATACACTGTAGTGGCAAGATGGATGTCAAAAGGAAAAAAAAATCACAGGGAAACACATTGCTACAGAAATAAATATGGTGGATTGACAGTGATTTTCACTTGGGAGATAGAAATGATTATTAGCAGCTGGTGCCGCGGCTCACTAGGCTAATCCTCCGCCTGCGGCGCCAGCATACCGGGTTCTAGTCCCTGTCGGGGCGCCGGATTCTGTCCCGGTTGCCCCTCTTCCAGGCCAGCTCTCTGCTGTGGCCAGGGAGTGCAGTGGAGGATGGCCCAAGTACTTGGGCCCTGCACCCCATGGGAGACCGGGAGAAGCACCTGGCTCCTGTCTTTGGATCAGTGCGGTGTGCAGGCCACAGTGCGCCAGCCATAGTGTGCCGGCCATGGTGGCCATTGGAGGGTGAACCAATGGAAAGAGGAAGACCTTTCTCTCTGTCTCTCTCTCTCTCTCACTGTCCACTCTGCCTGTCAAAAAAAATTAAAAAAATAAAATAAAAATAAAAAAAGAAATGATCATTAGCCAATTTGTTTATTAACAATGATTTCTAACTTTTCAAGGACAAGACAGCCAGTTTTGGTCCCACTATTTAAAGCAGGTGTTATAACATTAGGGACACAGACACAGAGGGTTTAACTATGTGCTTCCACAAGGAACCACAGGGCATACGATGGACTACTGACAGACTGGCACTGAGGAAAGGTGCCAGAGCACCACAGTTGTCAAAGAGAGTGACTTGACTTTTTAAAAAATTTCAACTTATTTTATGTGAAAGGTGCAGATACAGAGAGAGACAGAGTGAGCAACCTTTCATTTGTTGGTTTATTCCCCAAATGCGTGCAACAGCTAGGGCTAGGCCAAGCTAAAGCTGGGAGCCTGGAACACAATCCAAGTCTCCCACATGGTGGCAGGGACTTGAGTCATCACCTGCTGCCTCCCCGTATGTGTATCAGCAGGAAGCTGGAATCAGGAGCAGAGCTGAGACTCAAACTCAGGCACTCTGGCATGGGATCCAGTCTCCTAAGCAGCATCTTAACTGTTATGCCAAACACCTACCCTTTCCTTCATTTAACTTTTTAAAAAGATTTATTTCTTTATTTGAAAGCAGAGTCACAGAGACAGAGACACAGAGGGAGAGGGGGAGAGAGAAAGAGAAAGAAGGTCTTCCATAAGCTGGTTCACTCCCCAGATGGCCACAATGGCTGGAGCTGTGCCAATCTGAAGCCAGGAACCAGGAGCTTCCTCCAGGTCTCCCACGCAGGTTCAGAGGCCCAAGGACTTGGGCCATCATATACTGCTTTCCCAGACCATAGCAGAGACCTGGATTGGAAGTGGAGCAGCCAGGACTAAAACCGTTGCCCATATGGGATGCTGGTGCTGCAGGTGGCAGCCTCACCCGCTACACCACAGCACTGACCCCTTTCCTTTAATTTTTAAAAAATATTTATTTATTTATTTATTTGAGAGGTAGAGTTACAGAGTGAGAAGGAGAGACAGAGAGAAAGGTCTTCTTTCCATTGGTTCACTCTTCAGATGGCCACAATAGCTGGAGCTGCATCGATCCGAACCCAGGAGTCATGTAATTCTTCCTGGTCTCCCATGTGGGTGCAGGGGCCCAAGGACTTGGGCCATCTTCTACTGCTTTCCCAGGCCACAGCAGAGCTGGATTGGAAGAGGGGCAGCTGGGACTAGAACCGGTGCCCATATGGGATGCCGGCTCCATAGGCAGAGGATTAACCTACTGAGCCACGGAGCCGGCCCCATAATTTTTAAAAATTTATTTATTTGAGGAGGGGCCAGCATTGTGGAGTAATGGGTAAATCTGGCACCTGCAATGCCTGCATCCCATATGGGTGCTGGTTTGTGTTCCAGATGCTCTACTTCCTATCCAGCTCCCTGTTAATGGTCTGGGAAAAGCAGCAGCACACAACCCAAGTGTTTGGGCCCCTGCCACCCACATGGGAGACCTGGAAGAAGCTCCTGGCTCCAGTCTGTCCCAGTTCTGGTCATTATGGCCATCTGGGAAGTGAACCAGAGGATGGAAAATCTCTTTCTCTCTGTAAATCTTTCAGATAAATAAATGTTGGTTTGTTTTTTTTTTAATTATTTATTTGAGAGTCAGAGAGACAGAGGGCTGCCTTCTGTTAGTTCACTCCCCAAATGCATGCATCAGCCAGAGCTAGGCTGAGGTCAAAGCCAGGAGGTGAGAATGGAATGGAATCCATGTATCTCACCCAGTCGTTTTGGCCATCCCCACTGCCTCCCAGGGTCTGCATTAGCAGGAAGCTGGAATCACAGCCAGAACCAGGAGGTAAGGCCAGATCCTCCAATGTGGAAGGTAGGCACCTGAATCAGGGTCAACCACCGGGCCAATCGCCCATCCTTGAGAGTGACTTTTCAACCTGGGCTTATTTGACCTTGGGGATGTGATTCTTAGAAACCCAGGCAACACTAAGAGGACCAGGGTTTGGTGAGGGGCTGCACTGGGCACCGGGCACTGACAGAGGCTTTCTGGCACCTCTGGGAACAGGAGGGGGAAAGGGTGAGTGGGAACGCCGGTCCACCTATTGAGGCTGAGGAGGCCGAGCCCCTGCCAGTGCTCAGGCACAGGAAGGGACTGTGAGTGCCAAGGGCCCAGGCCCACAACCCAGCGTGTGCAGCAGCACTGGCCCCGGCCACCCCTGGCGGAATGGCAGCAAGAAGGCAGACCCTGGTGCTGTCCCATAGGCAAGGGGCTAGGACAGCATTTCAGGTGGGCACCCATGGGCCCTGCACTGGGTGGGATGGGAGGGATGGGAGGTGGAGAAGGAGGTGGCTCAGGGCCTGGACTTCCTCATGGGGCTGCGGTGGGTGACGGAAGTGAAGATCCCCAGAAACCAGCACGCCAGCCAACCTGCGCTTCCCGGCGTCAGCCCTGCACCAACACTGCCGGTGGAACTGCTCTTAGAGTTGAGAAACAGGAAGCTGCTCGTTTTCCCCCTTCTGACAGCTGGGATTGACGAGGTTTCTCTGCTGGTATTCCTTAGCTGTGACGTGACAGAGTCCACAGCGAACAAATGAGAGACACAGGCACAAAAACCGAGAGGGCCATGAGGAGGGGTAGGCAGGGGGAGTGGCAAAGGGCCAAGTGCAGTAAGAGGTTTTACAGGACTTCAGGGCCCATCCCATCTCCCACTTCACCTCCTCCTCTGCTCCCCCCGCCTGCTCCAGCCAGCGGCCGCCTCCTCACACACACCGGCTGGCTCCACCTCACAGCCTTAGCGCCGGCGCTCCCAGTCTTACGAGGGTTCGACCTGGGACTTGAGATTTACGAGAGTGTGAGAGCAACACCCGCTGAGGAGACACAGGACTTGGGGTGTTGGATTTGGACGTGTTCGCGCGTGGCAATGCTGGGTGGCGGCAGCCCCATGGGGAAACCTCTGACACTGCAGTGTGCCGTGTGGCAACTGCGAGGCTCGGCAGGTTAGGAGGAACGACGTGGGTTTTCAATCTATGCACTTGCAGCTTGCAATGGGCCTCTCGGGACAGAACGCCATCACAGGGCAAGGAGCACCCTGTTCGCTTTCCCTCTGCCTGTGAGGTTCTTCCCACAGTGCTCAACCTCCTCCTCCCAGCTTAAATACCACCTCGTCAGTGAGGCCCTCCTCTGGCCATCTGTTTAAAACTGCCAGCACCCCTCTGTTCCTGCCTTATTTTTCTACATAGCATTCATCACCATCTGACATGTGGCTGACTTCACTCTGGCTCCCTCCCCTCCCCTCACTCCAGCCACCATTAGGGAGGAGATTTTTATTTGGTTTACTCCATCATCCCCAGTGCCTAGGAATAGTACCCAGCAAACAGGAAGCACTCAATAAATATTTGTTCAGTGAATGGAAGGAAGAGGAGCAGAGGGGAAAATGGAATGAGAATCAGACTGTAACTCATCCTGGCCTGAAAGAAATCCTTTATTACTAACCTGATTAAAGGTGTGGGGAGAATTCCAAAAGCAGGGATCAGATATCAACCAAGCCCTTCTCTTTTGCTCCTAAGGCCTCCCCAAAGGGTTCCCGCAATGTGCAGAATGTCTCAAATACTAGAAAACATCTGAGGCTGGGCAGACATTCTCCAAGTCCCATGAAAGGGTTGCTTTAAAATAAGAACAAGCATCAGGGGCCAGTGCTGTGGCTCAGCGGGTTAAGCCGCCACATGTAACGCCAGTGGCCCACACAGGAGAGCCAGTTCAAATCCCAGCTGTTCCACTTCCAACCCAGCTTTCTGCTAATGTGCCTGGAAAGGCAGCGGACACTGGCCCAAGTACTTGGGTCCCTGACATCACACAGGAAAACCAGCAGAGATCCTGCCTCGTGGCTTCAGCCTGGCAGAGACTCAGTTATTGTAGCCAACGGGGAATAAAACCTGCAGATGGAAGATTTCTCTATGTTGCTCCCTCTCTTTCACTCTGCAATTCAAATAAATAAATAGACATTGAAAAATTTTTAAAAGGGAGCTGGTATTGTAGCACAGTGGGTTAACCTGCCACATGTATCCCATATGAGTGCCAGTTCAAGCCCTGGCTGCTCCACTTTCCAATCCAGCTCCCTGATAATGCGCCTAGGAAAGCAGCGAAGGACGGCCCAAGTGCTCCCCTGTGGGAGACCGTGATGGAGTTCCTGGCTCCTGGCTCGGCCTGGCCCAGCTCTGGCTGCTGCGGCCTTTTAGGGGAGTGAACCAGCAGATGGAAGATCTGTCTCTCTGTAACTCTGCCTTTCAGATAAATAAATAAATCTGGTGGCAGATAAGCTCTGTATAGTTTGTGGTTACATTATAACAAATCATCCCAAACTTAGTTGCTTAAAGCAAAACATGCTTCCCCTCTTAACAGCTCTAGAGATGAGAGATTTGAAATCAGCTTTAAGTTGCTACAGTCAGCACACAGACAGGGCCACACTTCCTCCAGGGGCTCTAGGAGCTTCTACAGGGGCACCCCTTGCATTTCTTGGCCTCTGCCCTGTTTTCAAAGCCAGTAGGGCAGCCGTGCTGCCTCCTTCTTTGCCAAGTCTCACTCTGTCCTCCCCCCAGGAAGGACACTTGTGTAACTACATTTAGGGTCCACCCAGATAAGCCAGGATAACCCCCCGAAAGACTCTTAACTTAATCATATGTTCAGAGCTCACTTTGTCACACAACGTAACATTCTTAGGTTCCAGAGGCTCTGGTTACTGTTTGGGTCACCACCAAAGAAGCAAACTCCAAGAGTTTGGAAGAAATACCACTCAGATCCCTGCCTTATGTGAAGTAAGTGTCACACCCAGAGTCTCAGTAGCATGCCCAGGCCTGGGTCTTTCGCTGAAACTGCTTGCCATTTAAATAGGTGGTCAAGAATTCACTTGACGGAACTAAACACTCTGGGCCTTGAAGGGCTTCCTTGGAAAGAAGGGTAGTTTTCTCTTTTCCAGCCGGAACCCCGGAAATGCTGGAGAGGAACATTCCAGATGTGTGCTGAGGGGTGAGGGGCGCACAGCTGGAGCTCTGCACCGTCCTGAATCTACAAGTGAGGGAGCCATAAAGAGATGATCTGGGCCTGGTGAACAAGCTCTGGATCAGGAAAGCAGATAAACTTCCTCTCGCCAGCACTGCCTGGGGCAGAGGGGGGGATCCAGAACCCATCAGACTGGGAGAGGCAGGCTGCTGTGATCACAGCACCATAACCGCCCAGTAATGCTGGACTCCAGGCACCAGATCAGCCATCCACAGTGGGGAAAGGACAGAAGTGGGGTCTGGGGCCTTGGCGGCCTCCGGCAATGCGTGCAGACATTCCTGGGTCTCACCGTTACTGGCATCACGTAGGCAGAAGCCAGGATGTTGCTAAGTATCTCATAATACACAAGAAACCCACACACAGACAGCAACCTTGCCCAGGACACCTGTGGCGCTGGGCCAGGAGACTGTACTAGAGGAAATGCAACGTGCGGCAGTTATGGTTTAGACAATTAAGGGAAACTGAGGGCAAGCCCACTTTACTGGCTTGTTTGGAAAAGGGGATGGTGTGCAGAGCTCTGGGTTCTGCGGGTCTGTGAGGCGGCCTGTTCAATGAATTCTGCCAGTTGGGAGAGCAAGTGGCTTTGTACTTTCGGTGGGGCAGCAGCCAAGTAACTCTGAGGTCACAACTCTTCGATGAGGAAGTGCCAAAAGCAGTGATAAGGATCAAAGGGTTAGAGCAGATCACAAATGAAAGCAGTGGGACTCCATTTCTGGACACCTATTAGAACCATGCTACGGAAAGGAGCGGAAGCCCGAGCTGGTTCTCCTGGAATACCTGGGAGCCTCCCTTCCACCTCCTGTTCTTTTGAGGTAACTCTCAAACCTGTGTCCCGGTGAACTGGGGAGAACTCAGCAGCGGTCTCAGGAGCACTGCTGAGGTGACTCCAAGGCTGGGTACGAGCTAGGCAGTGAAGACGAAGACCGGGCTGGTAAGGAGAAGCAGGCCACTGCCCGGAGTGCCAGGAGCTGCTGAACAGAGGCCGGCCCCCTGAGCTCACCAGCTCCACACATAGGGGACAAGACGGCATTCACTGAGGTTCATTACAGAGAAGAAATGAAGGCTCGGACATTAAGTCACAAACCCACATCTCAACAGCCAGTGAACACAAGAGCTGAGAGTCACACCCAGGTCTTCCCTCTGCCGACTCCTCTCAGGTCTCTCCACAGACAGCAAAGAGCTACAGAGAGAAGGCAGGGGCAGGAGGGGCTGAAACCCAGAAGCCAGGGCCCCCACAAAGTGCAGAAGGAGCCGTGCACAGACCCTTCTCTCAGCTTCTCCAACCCCGTCCCCCTTCAAATTCTCTTTGCTGTTTGCCAGCCTTGCCTCCCTTCTTGTTGCCCTGGGGCCCTAGCCCCACCAACCTCTAACACGTCCTCCTCCATGTGAAACATGGTCAGTACTGTTACATAAACTTTATCTTTCCTGCTCTTCATTTCTGAACAAGTTATACTTAATTTTTTATGTGCCTTGACAATAAAAACTAAATTTAGGGGCCAGTGTTGTAGCATACCAGGTTAAGACACCACTTGCAATGCCAGCATCCCATATGGGCACTGGTTCATGTCCCAGCTGCTCCACTTCCAACTCCGCTCCCTGCTAATGCATGTGGGAAAGCAGCAGAGGATGGCCCAAGTACAAGGCTCCTGGTTTAAGCCTGGCTCAGCCCCAGCCACACGACCTCTTTTTTTTTTTTTTTGACAGGCAGAGTGGACAGTGAGAGAGAGAGACAGAGAGAAAGGTCTTCCTTTGCCGTTGGTTCACCCTCCAATGGCCGCCGCAGCCGGCGCGCTGCGGCCGGCGCACCGCGCTGATCCGATGGCAGGAGCCAGGAGCCAGGTGCTTTTCCTGGTCTCCCATGGGGTGCAGGACCCAAGCACCTCGGCCATCCTCCACTGCACTCCCTGGCCACAGCAGAGGGCTGGTCTGGAAGAGGGGCAACCGGGACAGAATCCGGCGCCCCGACCGGGACTAGAACCCGGTGTGCCGGCGCCGCTAGGCGGAGGATTAGCCTAGTGAGCCGCGGCGCCGGCCAACACACGACCTCTTTCTCCCTCTTGCTGTAACTCTACCTTTCAAATAAATAAATCTTTCTAAATAAATAAATAAATAAAAACCTAAATTTAGTTGACTTTACCTTTTGCAAATCCTTTAATTAATCTCTCCTGTGTATCAACAGCACTAAATGGGGTTGGGGTTAGAGGGTATTCAATCAGAGTAACTGACAGATCAAAATCAATGCATGTAACTGCAGCGAGAGAACTCGGATCTAACGTGAGGCAGAGCTTCCTTACACCAGTTTCCTACCCCTTCTCTCTGCTGCCATCAGTCACCACCATCAATTCTCTGCACTCAATCACCTTTTTGCAAATAGTAACACCTTCTTTTCTTGTTCCAAAACCACTGATGGCTCCCCCGATAAGAGTGCACTTTCCATGTCCTCTATCAACCTATCAGGAATTTCCTAACAGTGGTTTCCAGGGAGACTGTGAGAAGACACACTTTCCTCCTAGAAGTAGCCATCTACGGGCAAGTTACCTAGCATAAGAGATGCTCCAGACAAGCCTCCTTCCCTCCCCATGAATTCATTCCTCTTGGTGTTCACTCCTTTGTACAGTCCTCCTCTTGCTCTGACAGTCCTGTGACCAAGAGAATAGAGTATGAGGTGACTTCTAAGGCTGGGTCATGAGCGACCTTGCCATCTCTGCCTGGATTTCTCATACACTCATTGTCAGGATGCTTCTGCTCAGAACCTAGCTGTCCTACTGTGAGAAGCCCAAGACACATGGGCAGGCCACGTGCAATAACTTTAGTCAAGAGCCAGTATCAAGTGCCAGCCACATGAGTGAGCCCATGCAGATGCCCAGCCCAGCTGCCCTAGCTCCCACTTGACCACAGCAACATGAAAGAACCAAGAGAGAACCATCTAGCTGAGCACAGTCAATCCACAAAACCATGAAAGATAACATACAGTAGCAATTTCACTTAACAATGTTCTACGGGGGGTGCTGGTGCTATGGCGTAGTGGGTAAAGCCGCCGCCTGCAGTGCTAGCATCCCATATGCGATGCCGACATCCCATAAGGGTGCTGGTTCGAGTCCCGGCTGCTCCACTTCTGATCCAGCTCTCTGCTATGGCCTGGGAAAGCAGCGGAGGATGACCCAAGTCCTTGGGTCCCTGCAACCATATGAGAGATGCCGATGGAGTTCCTGATTCCTGTCTTTGGCCTGGCCCAGCTCTGGCCACTGTGGCCTTTTTGGGAATGAACCAGCAGATAGAGGACTGCTCTCTCTTTGTCTCATCTTCTCTCTCTGTAACTCTGCCTTTCAAATAAGTATAAAGAAATCTTTTTTAAAGATTTTTCTTTTTCATTGGTTCACTTCCCAAATGGCCACAATGCTTGGAACTGGGCCTATAGAAAGCCAGGAGCCAGGAGCTTCTTCTGGGTCTCCCAGTGGGTACAGGTGCCGAAGCACTTAGGACATCCCCTACTGCTTTCCCAGACACATTATCAGGAAGCTGGACTGGAAGTAGAGCAGCCGGGTCTTAAACCAGTGCCCATATGGGATGCCAGCATTGTGGGGGGTGGCTTAACCCACTAACCCATGACACTAGCCACAGTAAATAAATCTTTAAAAAAAAAAGACATAATAATCTGCAATGGCTGTTAAACTACTTCTCCCTTTCTCAACCACATACCTGTGTGAGTCAAGATTTTTTTCACATCCTTCAAACAACATAACACAAGAGATTAAATACAGAAGGAAACATAACAATTCAGCTGTTTTTTATTATCCAGATATAAAGAGTTAAATACAAACCTAAAAATGTGTCATTCCTCCAATAGTTTTTTGTTTTTAAAGTTATTTTTCATTATAAATGTCATTTATAATAACATGTGACAGGTTTATTAAATTCATATTTTCTTTCTAAATTGGTAAACACAACCTCTTAGGATCCTCAATGACACTTAAGAATGTAAAGCAGACTTGAGATCAAAAAGTTTGAAAATCATTTAAACTTTCACAATATTCTACATAGAATTTTTATAATATTCTCAAGTTGACTTCAAAATAAATCATCTTTCCTTTTCATTCGCTTCAGGGATGAAGCCAGCCCTCAGTGACAACTTGCTCTAAACATATATCCTATATAGCATCATAACAGCTCTCTAACATTTAAAGAATATTTTGTGTATACATCTTCCCCCCAACTAGATACCCCATCCTTAGAGGGACAAAGCAGCCAAGGACTGTGTCTGTAACACCTGAAACAGCACCTGACCCACAGCAGTGCCTTGGGGACAAAGTCTAAGTTGGCAACACCGTTTTTTAAAAAATTTATTTTATTTGAAAAGCAGAGAGATAAAGTGTTCTCATCCTCTGGTTCACTCCCCAAATCCACGCTATAGCCAGGGTTGGGCCAGGCTGAAGCCGACAGCTTCAATCCAGCCTCTCACACGGGTGGCAGGGGCCCAACTACTTGAGTCATCACTGCCACCTCCCAGGGTCTGCATTAGTGGGAAGCTGGAGCCAGGAGCCGGAGCCAAGGGTCACAGTCAGGCACTCCAATGTGGTAAGCAGTGTTATTAACAGCTAGGCCAGATGCCTGTCCTAATCACAGCTTTTAGAGATTAACACTGAAAAACATGATAAAGCCTCCACCAGAGGAAACTAAAAAAAAAACAAAACCAGCTGGACCTGAGCACGCACAGCCCCAGGATGAACTGGACAACTGACCCCCGGACGTGCACAGTTGCTGCCACTGTGGCTGACTTCTGCAGAAGCAAATGACAAAGCAAATCAGTTCAGCTCAGTAGCTATGCCCTGCACGGGGGTGGGAGGGGACTTCCACCTCATCCCTTCTTGGGGAACCTCAGAAGCCTCCCGAAGCTTTAAGGTTTAAGAACAGGAGGGGGTCTCTGCTGTAACCTTCCCACAAGACCCTCAAATAGCCTGACCCCCACCGACTCACAAACTAACAGACTCGGGGGCTCACCACCCCATTCGGCAACAGGAAAACCTGCAGGGTGTTAAAGGCAGAGGAAGGGAAGTGCAGCTCACAAAAGCTACTGGAACCACTGAACCTCAGAGATGAAAACAAACCAGACAGAAGGCCCACGTTTCCCTTGGCCCCCAGCAGGGACTCACCATAAACCAGCCTCCCAAACAGATGGAACAATGAGCACTGAATACCCTGGAGCTCCCTTCAGAGATATTATAAACCTTGCCACGCATCCTGAGAACAGAGACACGGCAACGGGAAACACAGGGCGTTGTCCACAGCCCGCTGAGGACCCACCACCCAGCAGAGGTGGAAGAAACACTCTGTGTTCTACACCCAGCTCTCATCTACGCTAGCACACCACGGACCCAGGAGGCGGGGACTGGTTTCCTTTAAGAAAAAAGTATTTACAGAGCTAGAGAGGGAGAGCTATCTATTGGTTCACTCCCCAAATGGCATTTAATGGCCAGGGCTGGGCCAGGCCTAAGCCAGGAGCCCAAAACTCCACCTAGCCCTTAGGCCATCTTCTACTGCTTTCTCAGGCACATTAGCAGGGAGCTGGATAGGAAGTAGAACGGCCAGGACTCAACCGGCGCTCACATGAGATGCTGGCATTGCAGGTGGTGGCTTAACCCGCCGTAACGCTGTGCCTGCTCTATGGGACTGCTTTTCACTCTCATCATTTCCCGAGTGCCTGGCACTTTGTTGGTGCCCAAAAATATTTGCACCACAAATGAAAGAGAATTACGTGACGTTATCTCAGTGGCCCAGCGTCCTATTAGGCATTCCTATGGGCAGGGAAGAACATTTGTTCACTTATTTGCTCAACATTTATTCAGTATCTCCTCTGCGCCCGGCACTGTCTTAGACACAACAGGAAGCAAAGTAAGTCCCTGCCTTTGCAGAGTTTGATTTTGTGAGTGCAAAAGTGAAAATCTTCATGCTCCTAAAAATATGTAGTATAAGCCATAGACATTCAAGAACTATCAAATTAGTAACTGCCCGTCGTGTGTGATAGGTACCATTTGCTGTGACAGGTACCTGGGGTCTGGGACATGGCACTAGTGAAATAATTTCATTGTCAAGTATGGACCCAGTGCCTGAGCTGTCAGAGGCCCGCGAGGCAAGGAAACAGGATTACCTCCTTGGCGCATCTGTCTTCATCTGTTGGTGAGCAGAAGCCACTGTGTGAATACTACACGCATGCCCAAAACACCACGCAACACTGCAGAAGAGAAAGAAACCCGGCCTCTTTAGCTGAGTACCACCAGGGTCCCACAAGCAGCTCTCATCCGTTATAATTAAACACCAGGACTCCAAGGGTGCTTCCTCCCAAGGCAACCTGGTTCCTCGGCTGTCCCTCACATATTCATCTTGAAATGTCGCTATTCTGAGCCTGAGTCAGCAAATACTCCCCAATTCTGGTAGTAGTCTGCTCTCTTCCAGGCAGGTAGACACTGGTTTTCCTGATTTTACCAGGGTGGAGCCAGAGGGAGCTAGTGCCCAACGCTCCGCCATGGGTGGCAGCTCATAAATGCAAAAGCCCTGAGTTGTGCCTGGTGCCCTGAGCAAAGCCCTGTGGAGACAAGAAGGGAGTCACACCCCTGTCACCAGTTGGCTGAGTTACGAAGGTGAGGAACCATCTGCCAGCGAAGAAGCCACACATGCCTGAAAGCTGAGGCAAGGGTCCACACTCTTCCCACCTTCCTCTGGTACCTCGCTCCCCCTGGCTCCAAAGGCAGAGGAAAAATGCTCAGGGACATCAAACCACCTCCAAGAAGCAGCCTTTGGGCAATCCGGGACAACATGGCACAGACAGGGCACTGTGCACCAGGCTTCTGACATGATACAAGCAAGGGCCTGACAGAACAAAGTCTAGAAGGAACTAGGCAGGGTAGAAGAGACTGCTTCCGGCGTGGCCAGTGCTGGGCAGAGGGGCTGGCTCCTGGCATCTCCAGGCCCTACAAGGGCACCGGAGGAGAGTGTGCAATCTGGCTTACCAGCCTGCAGGGAGCATCCAAGGAGGTGGGCCTCGGTGCCACGCCACAGCAGAAGCCTGTTCCAATTCCTCCCGGGAAGAGCCACGCTGTCCCAGGACATGCCAGGGTGCACAGGCCCTGAGGACAGCTTGCCCAACAGGTAGGACAGCTGTGTTCTGTCCACAGCAGAGGCCTCCCAGGCCAGCCAACACTGGGCGTTCTCTCCCCATACCCTTCGAGAAGGGGGCTCAGAGAGCCTAGGTGGAGCAGGAGGGCTGAGTAGGGGCCACTCGTCCTGAGTGGGTTGAGGCTTACAGAAGCAAGCAGCCAACCAAAGGGTCGGTCAGTTTATTATGCAGCTGACAGGCCGCACTGTATGCAGAGTACTGTCAGGGCCCATCTGCCCACAGGTTAGCAACAGAGCGAGCGGCTGACCCAGCCCTGCAGACACCAATCAATGGGAAACCAGGTCATGGATCACCTTGCCTACCCACTCAGGAGACAGCACAGGGGATGAACTGCAAGAAGCCATTCAGCAGGGCTGCGGGTGCCCCAGCCGCTCCATGAGGACTTGGCCTGACCTGTTCCCAAGCCCTCTCACGGCTGCCTCAGAAGACAGCAGTACTAATGGGTAAGCAAAGACAAAGGAGTAGCAAACTGCCCAGAGTCAGGTAAAGTCCTCAGGAACCAGAGACTGGATTAAACTGCTGCCAAACTTGACCTCAAATTAAAAAACAACAACAACAACAAAAACACATTAAAACTCTGAAGGGAGGTATTCCATAGGAGCAAGGGTCACTTTCTGGTCCATTCTGCCCAAATCTCCCCAATGAAGGGCCGTGGAGAGGGGCCAGCCCAACAACAGGCCACGCTTTCACTGCAGAGGGTCAGTGCACAAGAGGATTACAGAGCCTGACTCTGGTTGAGCTGGTTCAGTTGGCTCTCTACCACAGCTCCTGAAGGTTGCCAATTCTGTGTCCAATTCTGGCTCAAAGACAGAGAGCACAATCCTCAAAAGAGGAGACCTAGAAACCCAGAGCCAGGTGGAACAACGGGCCTCCATCTCTGCACGTGACGGTGGGTCACGCTTTCAGAATCCTCCAAGATCAGAGTGGGCAGGAGTACAGGATACGTTATTCCCCGATGATTTCTCCAGGGGACCAGCGCTAAATAAAGGAGCTCAAATCGAAAGCATCTGAAAAGAATGTTCCGCCTGGGAAGAATCCCATGCAGGTGGTGGGCTCGCTGGCCCCAGAGGAGGTGGTCTGTGTGACAAGAAGCAGACAACTCAAGTTACTGATGAGGTCTGACTTATGCAACCCCACAAGCTATCCAGGTAGACATCAACCTGATAACCCACCCTACGCCCAGGCAAAGGGAACCACTTCTGTGTCACTCTCCCTCTCGGGTCTACAGGAAGTTAGTTTTCGACAAAGACAAAGGAGGGAGAAGACATGCTCAGAGACCCTGTTCAGCCACCCACACAGAGGCACACTCAGCACGTCAAAGATGGATGAGACAGAACCAGCAGCTGGTCCAAGCCACCAATGATGAAAGGGGCAGATGCCCGCCAGCCGCGGTGTTCTCAGCTATCTATTTCAACACCCAAGTAGGAAAAAGATGTCCTGGAGCCAGAGGGAAAAGGTTGAGGACCAGAGGAATTCTCTGGGGCACAGCTTCTGGAGAGTCAGCTCTTGGGGAGGGGCCGTAGGGTGGAGGATGGGAGCGAGGGCAGAGACGGGCTGGGGTCTCATGGCTTACATGCATTCCACATAGGCAGAGTAGAAAGACCCAGAATCGCGTTTCCTGGAAGGGGAAGAGAGTTGGATGAGGCCCTCCGGCTACCCCTGGCGCACAACCAGCTCAGCTCAGTCTCTCCCCAAGGGTTCCTGGAAGTCAACAGACCCATAAAGGGGAAGCCTGAAGCTGTGATTAGAAAAATGACCTACAAATTGGACAGCATCCCTGCTGTAACAGCCCAGTAAATGCTCCCACACAGCCTGAGCTGGAGTCTGCCTCCGACAGGCAGCCCCTAATTCATGCAGGAGCTGAACACCCCTGCTCTCCTCCATCTGCCGGCAGGTCAAGGGGAAGCCAGGTGACTTCTCCCTGAAGCGGAGGCAAAGAACCAGGAAGGGAAGGGGGGGTGGGCCACAAGAACACAGTGGGTACGACTGGGGGTGGGGGGGAGGGCAAAAGCAGAGCTCCTGGAAGGAGCCGGGGGAAGTGAGCTAGGGTAGAAAGGAATTGCAGGTACGCGGCTGGAACAGCCCGGTAAACACCCTGAGAAGAGGAGACGGGTTGTCCAGAAGGCTGGGAGGGCCAGGCACCAGGACACTCCGGGGGACAGGGGTGGGAAAGTCGGCAAAGACTGAGAGAGAAGGAGAGGATGAGAGCGCGAAGGCAGGGGACAGGGATAACGAGGGCGACCCCCAGGGGTACTAGGAAGAGAACGCAATAGATCTGGGAACATCCGAAAGGGCTGAAGGAGGAGGTCACAGGCAAGCGAGGGGGACAGGAGAGGACCCCAGGCCGGAGCCGGGGCCACGAGGCCCAAATCGGGGCAGAGTCGGGTGGAAAGAGGCCGAGATTCGGGCTCAAACAGCTATGCGGGGCGGTGGTGTCCAAGGGCGGGAGTGCAAGGGCAGCGGGGCTGGACACCAGCGGGGTCACGGACGACCGCGGGCCCGCCAGGGCCGGAGCGCTGGGAAAGACGCAGCGGTGCTGTCCACGGACCCCAACCGCTCCCGGACTCCGATCCCCGCCAGGCCTTGCGCCCCAGACCGGCTGGCCGCCTCAGCCTGGACCCGCCACCCCCATCCACGGCTGGCCTGCCCGCTCCCCCGAGCCGGACTGACCCGTCCTGGCCGCCTCCCGCGACAGTGCAGCCGTTCCGCAGGCTCCGCAGAATCCTCCGGCTCCTGCCAAAACTTTTCCCATTAATCCCCAGCTCCGCGGCGACCGCGGCGTCACACGCTCCGTAGCCTGGCCCCGCCCCTGCCAGGGCGACGTCACCGCCCAGCTCGGCCCTCCCCGTGCACGCCCCCCGTCCGTCCGGCCGCGGCCAATCAAGGAACCCGTAGGAGAGTCCCCTGATTGCGCCGCTCCGCCCACCGCACGCTGCCGGGAGCCCGCCTACAGCGCCCTCTGGCGTGGGATGAGGGCGCAGCAGCTGAGGAAGGAGCTTGCGAGGAATCTGGTTGTGCCAGGGCAAGTAAAACAAGTCCAGCAAGTATCATAAAGGGCTGGAAGGGGAATTAGAGGTCATCTAGTGCAAATTCCTCATCCTTCCAATGAAGAAGCAGGCCCAGAAAAGGTGCGTGACTTGCAGTAAGAAGTAATGCGGAGGCCAGAAGCCGGTCTCCAAACACGACCCAGCGCTCCGTCCACTGCCAAGAGACCATATTGCCTCTAATTTTCAAAGTAAGAGCTTGCTTCCTTTGAAAGACTTCTGAAGCTGCAGACTTAGGGTCCTGGGCTTCGCACCTATTTCCCAAGTGCTTTTTTTCTTTTTTCTTTTTTTTTAACATTTATTTTTTGTAAGGCAGTGTTACAGATAGAGGAGAGAGAGAGAAAGAGAGATTCCATCTGCTGGTTCATTCCCTAGATGGCGGCAACCAAAGCCAGGAGCCAAGAGCTTCATCCAGGTCTCCTGGAGTGCAGGGGCCCAAGCACCTGGGTCATCCCTCCACTGCTTTCCCAGACATTAGCAGGGAGCTGGATCAGAAGTGGAGCAGCAGGGCCGGTGCCGGTGCCGCAGGCAGAGGATTAACCTAGTGAGCCACGGCACCGGCACCCCGGGTTCTAGTCCCGTTTGGGGCACCGGATTCTGTCCCGGTTGCTCCTTTTCCAGTTCAGCTCTCTGCTGTGGCCCGGGAGTGCAGTGGAGGATGGCCCAAGTGCTTGGGCCCTGCACCCGCATGGGAGACCAGGAGGAAGCACCTGGCTTCAGATTGGCACAGTGTGCCAGCTGTAGCAACCACTTGGGGGGTGAACCAACGGAAGGAAGACCTTTCTCTCTGTCTCTCTCTCTCTCACTGTCTAGCTCTGCCTGTCAAATAAAAAAAAAAAAAAAAGTGGAGCCAGGACTCAAACCGCTGCCCATATGGGATGCTGGTGCTGCAGGCTGTAGCCTTACCCTCCACACCACAATGCCTCCCTGTGCACTGCCCCCCCCCCCACACTTGTCCTCCTAAATGGGGGACATCCTCTCCACTGTTGTTGAAAACTCTGTTCTCACTTCTTAACCCAAATACACACCCTGTACCTTAAAGTCTACCATGAGAAGGCACCAGGCCGCTGGAAGGCCGTCTGGCTTTGTCACCCGGAGATGAATAAAACCCGACTCTCAGGTGACTGATCAATGGATAACGCCCTCCTCCCCATTCCTTTGGCCACTCAGCCAGCCGGATTGTGGATACACACACACACACACACACACAAATACATACATGCATGTACCTGGTCCACCTCTTTCTTCCCCCTACTTTTTGGAAGGAATGTGGGTTACCTTTGCAATGTAGATGCTAACCTTCCTGCCCTTTTCAGGTCGCAATAAAAATGAACCATGGTAGACAGAGCCTCTCCTAAGATTTCTGCAAACTTCTTTTTTAAAAGATTTATTTATTTATTTGAAAGGCAGAGTTACACAGAGAAGGAGAGGCAGAGAGAGAGAGAGAGAGAGAGAGAGGTCTTCCATCTGCTGGTTCACTCCCCAATTTGCTACAATGGCCAGCTGCGCTGATCCGAAGCCAGGAGCCAGGAGCTTCTTCCAGGCCTCCCATGCAGGTGTAGGAGCCCAAGGACTTGGGCCATCTTCTACTGCTTTCCCAAGGCATAGCAGAGAGCTGGATCAGAAGTGGAGCAGCCGGGTCTCAAACTGGCACCCATATGGGATGCTGGCACTTCAGGTCAGGGCGTTAACCCACTGCACCACAGTGTCGCACCACCACCACCCCCCGAAATTTTCTAACTGGCCCTCCACCCCTTTGGGCCTGGCCTTCTCCCAACTCTCTTCTTTTCCCTGCATGCCCCTCCCTTCTCTCTTCTCTTCAGTCTTCTCGGGAGGAAGCACAAGCTCTCTGGTTTTCCAGGCGGGATGAGACATCTTAACTATATCACTCATTGCTTGGGTTCCTGCCAACATCCGGGCTCTGAAGATCTGTCATTTTGTACTCCAAGGAGACTGATTTCCTCCAATGAAGACAGTTCCTGGGGCTGGCATTTTGGCATAATGCGCGAGGCTGCCAACAACAATGCCAGCATCCCATATATGGGTGCCAGTTTGTGTCCCAGCTGCTGCACTTCCAACCCAGCTTCCTGCTAATGGCCCAGAAAAAGAAGCAGAAGGTGGACCAAGTGCTTGGGCTCCTGTACCCAAGTGGGAGACCCAGAAAGCTCCTGGCTCCTGGCTTCGACCTGGCCCAACCCTGGCTGTTGCGGCCATTTGGGGAGTGAACCATAGGCTAGAAGACTTTCTCTCTCTGTCTCTCTGTCTGTCTCTCTCCTCCCTCCCTCTCTCTCTTTCCTCTATGTAACTCTGTCTTTCAATAAAAGATAAATGAATAAATCTTTTTAAACCGTCATTGTTGCATAGCAGGTAAAGCCGATACCTGCCATGCCGGCATCCCATATGGGTGTTAGTTCAAGTCCCAGCTGCTGAACTTCTGATCCAGTTCACGATAATGTGCCTGGGAAAAGCAACAGAAGATGGCCAAGTTCTTGGACTGGAAGTAAAGTAGCTGGGACTCAAACTGGCACTCCGGTAGGGGATGTGGTGTCCCAAGTGGGAGCTTAACCTGCAGTGCCCCAGTGCATGGCTCCACATAATATTCTTGAAGACCCTTCATATGCATGTACTTCAAATTTTTTTGCACCAAAACAAACTTAGCCTCTTTATATTTTTATTATTGATTTTTAAAAGATTTATTTACTTATTTGAATGGCAGAGTTACAAAGAGAGAAGGAGAAAGAGAGAGAGAGAGAGAGATCTTCCATCTGCTGGTTTACTCTCTAGATGGCTGCATCAGCCAAGGCTGGGCCAGGCTGAAAACAGGAGCCAGGAGCTTCATCTGGGTCCCCCACATGGGTGCGGGGGCCCAAGCGCTTGAGTCATTTTCTGCTGCTTTTCCTGGGAGCTGGATCAGAAGTGCAGCAACAGGGCTGGCGCCGTGGCTCACTTGGCTAATCCTCCGCCTGCAGCGCCGGCACCCCGGTTGCTAGTCCTGGTTGGGGCACCGGGTACTAGTCCTGGTTGCTCCTCTTCCAGTCCAGCTCTCTGCTGTGGCCCAGGAAGGCAGTGGAGAATGGCCCAAGTGCTTGGGTCCCTGCACCTGCATGGGAGACCAGGAGGAAGCACCCAGCTCCTGGCTTCGGGTCGGCACAGCATGCTGTCTGTAGCGGCCATTTGAGGGGTGAACCAATGGAAGGAAGCCCTTTCTGTCTGTTTCTCTCTCACTGTCTATAACTCTCTCTCTCTCTCTCACTGTCTAACTCTGCCTGGCAAAAAAAAAAAAAAAAAAAAGTGGAGCAGCTGGGACTTGAACTGGTGGCCGTATGGGATGTCAGCATGACAGACTGATGCTTTACCTACTATACCCCAATGCCAGCCTGTTTCCATGAACTTTCTAAGTACCTTCATTTGTTTAAATGTTTAGATCTCATAATTCCACTTTGGGTAGTCTGTCTTGAGGAAATAAGCTTAAATACATGAAAGTCTTTATACACAGAAATGTCCCTTACAAATTATTTAAAACAACAACCAAATCTGGAGAAAGCTTAATTTCCAACAACAGACAAGTGTCTAGGTAAATTATTCTGTAGCCTTCTGGTGGAATATTATGCAGTCATTGAAAATAATACAAAAATCAGTTGGCAACAAAGAAGGAAAATGATATGATATGAAGTGGAAAAGACAGTATGATAGCCGGCGCCATGGCTCACTAGGCTAATCCTCCACCTGCGGTGCCGGCACCCCGGGTTCTAGTCCCGGTCGGGGCGCCGGATTCTGTCCCGGTTGCCCCTCTTCCAGGCCAGCTCTCTGCTGTGGTCCAGGAAGGCAGTGGAGGATGGCCCAAGTGCTTGGACCCTGCACCCACATGGGAGACCAGGAGAAGCACCTGGCTCCTGGCTTCAGATCGGCACAGCATCGGCCACAGCGCACCAGCCGTAGTGGCCATTTGGAGGGTGAACCAACGGAAAAAGGAAGACCTTTCTCTCTGTCTCTCTCTCTCACTAACTCTGCCTGTCAAAAAAAAAAAAAAAGAGTATGATGGTATGAATAGAGTAAAATCACACTGCCTGGAAAACTAAAAGTTAGCAAGGGAAAAACTGGAAGAAAACCCAATAAAATGTTACCAGGAATTGTCTTAAATCGTGTGTCTGTGAATTATTGTCTTTCTATGTTTTTTCCTCACAGTGGAAACATGGTGTGTTTTTTAGGTCCACAGAAAGAAAGTTTCCTTCAGATTGAGCAAAAAAATTATATCCCCTGTTGCTGCTACCCAGTAACCTTAGTTCTGCACCTCGGAGGTAAACTGAGTCACGTTGCTTTCCACACAAGAGCCCACCCCCTTTTAAAAAGATTTATTTATTTATTTGAAAGTAGGAGTTACACAGAGAGAGAAGGAGAGGCAGAGAGAGAGAGAGAGAGAGAGAGGCCTTCCACCCACTGGTTCACTCCCCAAAGGGCCGCAACAGTCAGAGCTGAGCTGATCCGAATCCAGGAGCCAGGAGCTTCTTCCGGGTCTCCCAAGCAGGTGCAGGGGCCCAAGGACTTGGGCCATCTTCTACTGCTTTCTCAGGCTATAACAGAGAGCTGGATTGGAAGTGGAGCAGCCTGGACTCGAACCAGCGCCCGTATGGGATGCTGGCACCGCAGGGGGTAGCTTTACCCACTATGCCACAGCGCCAGCCCCAAGAGCCCTTGTGATGTTTGGCCCTCCTCCCCCGTACTGCCTGCATCTACCGGTAGCATCCCTACTGCTCAGCAAGGTGACTGTGACTG